CCCCCGCCCCGTTTCTTTCCAAGTCGCTTTGCCTCACCCCCAGGCTCTAAGAAAGAGAAAAAGGCAGCAAAAAGGCAGAAATGTGTGTGGGAGGAAACGCCATTGAGCGCAGGCAGTGAATAGGCCGAGGCTGTATGGGCACAGAAAACACAAGCCCACAAGGCAGACACAAGTTGCTGAGCGAGCAGCGTTCATTCTCTCTCTTTTTTAATTTAATTATTTTTTAATAATATATATGAATGTATATTTTTAAAATTTTGATAAAGAATTGGGAGTTTATATGAAGAAAACGTTTTTCCACATGCCAGTAAAGACCTGAAGAGCGTGGATTGGTCGACTGAAGATGGGAACGTGTAATTTCTATTTTATTTTATTTTATTTTATTTTATTTTATTTTATTTTATTTTATTTTATTTTATTTTATTTTATTTTATTTTATTTTATTTTATTTTAATAACGCTTTTAGCAATCGGTTATTTGATTATTATTATCAATTGATTATTACGAAAATACATTTTTAGTTAATCCACTGACAATATTAACATTTTATTTGTTTATCTCAAATACAGTTTTTCATTAATATTATTTGAGATTTTGATTGGCCTAAAGCCCAATTTCTGGTTAAATATGTAACGTGAGAAAAGACTCGGTAACTTCAAATTTTTCATAGTTCACTAATGACCAGGTTGTTGTACTTTTCCTTCTTTTAAAACTACCAATACTACAGTAAACACATTTCTAATTCAATCATGACCGTACAAATACTATTTGCAGTATAGCATTTCTGTAGTCAAATAGTTCAATACTGGATGATAACACGATAACGGCTTTGTCACATCTTCTGTCTAACAAAACACATTAAAATCAAAAGATTCTAAGTGGAGAAATGTGCGTGTTTACATAGCTGTGAGTGTGCTACACTAATAGCTGGACGATTTTCAGTAGTGCCTGCGCTGCTAAAGCGGATCCGAGCTCTCCGTCTGTTTTTATGAGGCAATAAATTAGATCCAATCTCTGCTTATAGGTGTTTTTATTGTCTGTTAGTCCAACGGAGATGTAAAGGGAAGTGCGGCCATTATTTATGGGAGTCTGATTTATGTCTCAAGTTTTATGTGGCTCTCAGCCCTCCAAGCACGCGGGTGCGAGAGGGAAAGAGAGAGAGAGAGAGAGAGAGAGAGAGAGAGAGAGAGAAGAGGGGTGGGGGTCGATCACGTGATAGAGCCGAGGCGCAGTCCTCGGGGCTTTTTTAGTCATAAACACACAGCTGACACATAGCTGAGCTGCATGCAAGATGAGAAATCTTCAAAGAGGAAAGCATTAGCCACAAATGCCTAAGAGAGGGTTTGTTGAAAATATTGAAACTGCTCTATGGGTATACATAGCTTGCACAACTCCAGCAACCTCCTAGTCAGCTTCATTGTTCCTATAGCTGTTGTTTGGAGTTTTCACTCACTGGATTTCAGTATTTTTGCACACTAGCCAGTATTTTCTGTTGACTGATTAACATCCTGAGGTGTCAGAGCGCTTATCTGTCTTTTGATTTAAAGCTGGGGGCATTAAATTAGCATCAGAAGATTTCTTCGTCACCTTGGAAAAGTGGTAAGAACAACACTAAATAAATAAGTATATGCATACATACATAAAAGGAATGGAAAATTCTTAGTATTGGTACTGCGTCAAGCCAAATTGTTACTTAATTTGGATAAACACTGATACCTAAGGAGAGCTGCAGTGAAGCAAAATAAATCAAATTGTTTGGCCTGGCTACTGAATACTTTTCACTCAACTGCCTTCCTGCTATAAAGTGATCTTCATCATTGCAGTAATGACTGGATTCAGCACACCAAAACTGAATGTTTTCTTCACCACTAGTGACAATAATCACTGCTGAACACGTGTCAGAAGCCAAACTGCCAGAGGACAGCTAACTGATCATGACACAAAAATGCATCTGACTAAAGGGACTGGTGCTCATTCTTTTATTCAACTTTTTGAGCCCATAGAAAAAAACAGCTGCCAGAAGAAAACAAAAACTCAAAACACATTAGTACAGTATCTGGTGCTTATTTTTCAGGTTTTGTAGGAAAAGTTTTTGTACTTTAATATTAATCCCAACCTTAAGACCACCTGATATTAGCAAAAAGGATGGCTGCTGCTGCTATCCCAGCAATTAATACCAGACAACAACTAAATAGCAGAGTAATAGGTGGTGATTTATACATTTCCTATTCTTACAGTGGTATCAGATAATAAAGCCCTTCTTCTCTCTAGTTTGTACAGCAAAGCGAAGCAGCGAGAAGGTTTTCTGAAAGCTAAAGGTCTTTTCTTTTTTGGACAATTCTGTAAGTTCTCTGACTGTGATGCTTTATCCTCAGACACCGACCCAGTATTCACTACTGGCACCAGAGTCAGGTCATCTCTGAATCAGAGACAAGCTGTTTGAACTAAGTCACGGCCACACCTAATCTGTGGTTTATGAGCAGCGTTTGTTTCTATATTATATCTACATTATATATATTCTATACTATACTAACTATCTATCAAATTTGACAGTCAAATTTCCAATCTGATTTAACCTTTTGACACTATTATGCACTCTAGAGGCTTTTGAAACAAGTACCAAGTCCTATTATGAGTTTCTGAGTTCAAGTTTTTACTTTCATCTTTAAAAGTATTTTTATGCATATTTATTTCATTTAAAAAATTGGTAGTTTTTAGTACGGAATCTTACAGAATGCAGTGAAAGACTGATGGGATGGTGAATGTTTAACTTCTAATTCTTACTGATTGAGATTATAACTAATGCAACAAAAGTGCTGTTTAGACTGTGTGAAGATTTAGCTATTAAAAGGTCAGGACTGTTGCTCCAATCTTAGTAAAAACTGTTTGTTGTATGGAATGATACAAACACTCATATCACTGTCTCTTAACACATACAACACAAAGTGCCTTTAACCAACTAAAAAGTCTAGGTTAATCATAAATACATTTCTGAGTTCATCTTTTATAAAAGCACCTAAAACAATGATTGTATTATTGTTGAATTGATGAGTTATTGAATTAGAAAGCAAATTTACTTGGAATTTTACTTTTATTTGACACCTTTCCTAAATACTGCACATCTAGAAAAAAGCCAGTAAAATCCATTCCTCTTTTGTGTTGACATTTTTGAGGCACTGTGTTTGCGTTATCTAAGTAAAATAACAAGCATGACTTTCACACATGTCAGTATCTATGAGATTTGTGTTTTAACTGCTTATTTGTGTGGTGGCTTTAAAGGTTTTAATAGGTTGAAGAATTTTCAATCATACTGAATATGTTGTGATAATCAACATTCTACATAAATATATATATAATCATAGCAATTGTAACTTTAGCTTAGCAACAAATCTCCTATTTGTAAATTTGATATTTCATATTAACCCAAGGAAATCCAGCATTCGTTTGACCATAATAATCAAAATAAGAGGAGCAGGATTCTCTGCTGATACCTTCACTGTGATAGTAGTATTCTGCTTGTTTTAACATTATCTGATGCTGACTTTTGAGTCTTTTTTTTTTTACCAAAACAGCATGAATCAAGCTTTACACTCCTGTGATTCTTAAAACACTGAGGCTAGCGCTGAATAACATAACATTTTATTAAAGAATTGTTCAACATTCAACTCTCTCAACAGTGAAAGAAAAAGGATCTACAAAGGACAAAAGAAGAACTTGTTTTTTCTCCAAAAAGACTTGTTCTTTTTTCCATCTAATAGTTAGTCTATATTTTCCCACTATGCATGGGTGGTTCAACAATCCCCACACTTGCCTTTTCCCCTGTACAAGCCAGGACATTTATGTACAAGGGTCAGTATAGGAACATAAAAACTACTAATTTTCTTCTAAAATACAAGAACTAAAAAATGTAACTTTAGTACAATGGACAAGAAGAAACAATGTTTTTTTTCTTTCATAACAGGTAAATACTAAAAAAGTACAGTATTTTTTCTCGATATAAATACATGAAGGATAAATAATAGTCATACAAAACAGAAAGTCTTTTTTTAAACTGGCTATAACAAATAAATATTTTATATGAATGTTCACTTGAACACACATTGGCAAAAGACGCTTTGATTGGAGGGCCTTTCGTCTTCAAAATAAGATTTCATTATTATTATTATTATTTTTATTTTTATTTTTTTACCGTTAACCATCAAAATGTAAACTCTAAGTGCAACAATGATGCCCAGATGTGGCAAGCTTTTGTGTAAATCATGCACTTTTAAAAACAAAACCAGGGATTCACTTCCTAAATATCAGCAAGTTTAGAGAGAGTCGAGTGCACACTGCTTGTGTTTGTTCCACACTGCATAGGCTCTGTGTGCACTGTATGCACTCACTGATGGTTCAAGCAAATAAACCCAGTAGTTTTAAAAATGTGTTTTACACAGCAGCTCTGACTTCTGGGACATGCATTTCTTGTTCAAATATATACCCTGTATCCATGTTAAAAGTCAAGATATGTGAGAACAAAACAACACAGGAGAAAGTGTGGACTTTTATGCATCAGTGTCCTCTATTGTAAGTTAACTCTTCCAAAGTGATAAAGAGAGAGAAAGAGAGAGCGAGAAAGAGAGAGACAGCAATGATATACCTCAACATAAATAAATAATATTCTCTGCTCTTTCGCATTTACCCTGTGTCAATAATGTGCTAAAATAAGGAATTTTAAATGTTTCTTCCATATCCTCTCGTGTGTTTGTTTGAAGGTGTCAACAGCTGGCGTACCCTGGCTATGGAGGTGTGTTGATGAAACATTGCTAGCTTAGCACTGCTGTGTGTGCATGAAGGTGTGATTAGCTAAAGTAGCTTAGCACAGATGTGTGTCGATGAGTACTTTAGCAATTGAGCTCATAGCTTCTTAAACCCTGTTCGAGCGATAGGTAGGCTGTCCATGTGGTGATGGATGTGTGTGTATGTGGTTGGGAAAGGGGGTGGAGGTGGTGATGGTGGTGGTGGGGGGGGGGGTAGTCTGTGGGGAACTGTGGGAGGTTTTGCCTCCTTCTGAACCCATGTGCTGCTGCCATAGACAAGAGACAGTGGGTTAGTAAAGACTGGGTCTGAGATAGTTATACAGCAGGAGCCAGAAAGGGACAGTGACCGTCGAGTGGTTTTTGCAGGAGAAGATGTGTTCTGCCAGCTCCAGCTATATATTTCTGCTCTCCATTTCACTCTGTCTCCTTCTTTTCTCTCTCTCGCAAGCTGGTATAGAGACAGAGTCCTCCACATAGCTCAACTTGGCTGACGACAACATGTGTTGTCTGAAGGGGAAGAGAACTCAGCACCATAAATCTAACCACCTTGTTAACTGGCCATTAAAATTTCAACCATTTCATTTAGAAGGGGGAGAGCTGCGTTCATATATGTGTCCTATTAAGTATCAAAGTACAATTTTAGACTAAATGCTACCTCCAAAAGACTCCTTTTAGTACACAGTAGCTAAACTACTCCAGAATTTGCTGTGCTCACGTGCCCAACATACACACGCAATCACTCCTCACCCCACTTTCTACTTGAAAGGCTAAAAATAGAAACATAACTAAGTTCTCAGTTTTTTACAGTATCAGGAGACCTGTATAGTCTGGGAAAGCATTATATTAAATTATAAAATAAATTAGTTTTAATAATGTTGTACTTATTGCTAAGTGTCTTAAATTCAAAATTTTTAGGGTTTTTTTATGCTGTTTTGAACAAATCTTCCTGATTTTTTCTGTGCGAACATGGTGGTTTTTTTATTTGAGTCTCAATCTGACAAATGACTATACAATGGTGCTCAGCGTGGATCCTGTCATACCAAACAGCTGCCAATGTATCTCTGCACCAGTGCCATAAGACAAGCTCCTTGATATGCATTGTCTGCAGCAGCAAAGAGCAGCATGGGGACTGAATGTACACCTGACCTCTCCCTACAATACACCTCATTTCCATGGGGCTGTGGAATACTGTGTAGATGGGTTCATTTTTAAAATGACTATACCACTAAAGTAAAAGTTAAATGTTTAATCAAAGTTCAAATATGATTCAATATGGTTTAAAATTTGTGTTACTTAATTTCCTGTATGCGGCACATAAAGTTAGAGCAATAGACATTATACTAGTTAGTTTAATAAGTTTGAAAAATCTATTTTAAAAAAGAGTTTGCATTATAATACACTGCTGTTGTTTCCAGCACTGGATATGCAGATATGCCTTTCATCAAGTTATTTGACAATATGAAAGGTTTGGGTTCATCTGTGATACTCGATACTGCTGTCTTTTTAAAATTAAATTACCTGCTGTTTCAAGGTAGCACTGAAAGGTCTCGTCTTAATCAGATTTAGTGGAGCTCTTTATGAAGGCAGTGAAAACAGGGCGGTGGCAGAACGCTACCCAACACTGGCTGTTCCCCTTTGTGACTTCAGAGCTCAGGACAAACCACTGGACGGCCCCTGTGAGTCTTCTTTTGCCTCTCATGCTATCCTGCTGCAGCACTAGTCTCCCTATGTGTAAGTCTGTTTGTGAGCCATGATTTGTTCGATGTGGTCTTCACTTTTTTGTATGTTGTCATTTTGTTCCAAACCTGCTACAGGTGAGTGAGCTTGGGTGCTTCCTGGATTCTGCCCTGAGTCGAGGTGTGGTGTGCCGACAGTTCGGTGTATGTCGGGTGTGTAGGTGGGTCACAGGGACCCGGGGGACCCCCTCCACCCACATGGTGCTGGTTGGCAGCTGACATGGGCCCTGCGCCATTGTAGTCCATGGTTTGGTGGTGGGGTGGGGTGGGGCCGAGGTGGTTAAGCCCATACATGGAAGGCCCTGAGCCAGGCATGGGTTCCACATAATTAGCACCCCCCACATAGACTGGACTGGCCTGTATATTGGTGGGTGTCCCATAGCCAGCACTATTAGCCTGCACTAGGCTGTGGTGGGGATGGGGATCACCATAGTCTTGTTCTGGGGTGCCATACTTCTGCTGGGGGGGGCAGCCCTTCATGGGGACATTTGAATAGGCAGTGGACATGGAGTAAGACACTCCTTGGTGGGGCTTGCCAAAGGATGGTGGAGATGGCGCGTCATAGCCTGTGCTGCCTCCTCCACCTCCCCCTCCCATTGGGTGCATTGAATTGAGAAAGCTGGCAGAAGACTGCAAGGGCAGAGGAGGAGAGCCTGTTGGTGAGGGCCCTCCAGAGCTGGAACTCAGGCCCTTGTTCTTCTGGTCCTTCTTGTACTTCATGCGTCGGTTCTGGAACCAAATCTTGATCTGGCGTTCTGACAGGTTGAGCAGGTTGGCCATTTCCACGCGTCGTGGCCGGCACAGGTACCGGTTGAAATGGAACTCCTTCTCCAGCTCAACAAGCTGGGCACTGGTATATGCTGTTCGAGCCCTCTTAGATGATGCTGACGAGCCACCAGTTGGACTCTTCTCCCCGCTGCTGCCACTCTCAGCTCCTCCTGATGCTGACAAGAGAACAAAAAGTGAAGGTGAGAAAACATGAGGGCATAGCCACCCACAGAAAAATACCTGGTTGACAGTGGAAGAAAGGCAAGAAACCAAGGATATTTAAAAAAGAATGTTGGCATCTTAAGAAGGTAAAAGCTGAGAGATCGAGAAAGGTAGAGAGAATATAACATAATCAGGCTGCATGCTGAAGGAAATTAAAAGCATTCAGGTTCTTAATAAAGCAGAGGGGGGGGGGGGGTCTAGCAGGCCGACTGAATCCCTTGATATTAGTTGTCAACACTTCATAACAGTGGCAGTTATTAAGCTGTGGAGGCCCCAGTGCTGGCCGAGAGAAGCTAAATTGCATCTTGGCTGGAAAGACAAACCCCCCACAGCAACACCAGCTGCAGCACAAGGACTCATGAGCAGGAACTGAGGTTGACCTGCACTCACTTCAATTTGCTTGCCAGGAAAAGTCAAACTTCTCATCTCATTTATGTCATTATAACAGTGAATTCTAATAGAAACAGAAAGTTGTTTAGAGAAAAGGGATTGAACACATGCATATTTGATAAAGACCTGTTTCCTATCATTTTCTCTCCCAGGAAGTACATTTGTGGATCCAGTGAAGTTATGAGACAACTAGTGATGAAAGTGAAATAGCTTGAGTCTAAAGTTATTTTCTTTAGCTCAGAATTTTCCATATGGCAATGAACTCCTGTGCTTTTAAAACTGTAGTACCTGATAGTTAAACTAAAACAGTAACACAGGATAATCCGATAGCTTCAACCTCTTTTTTTTCTATCTTGAGTTTTTGATTATGTTATACAGTTGCTCAAAACAACATAAACATTGATAAACAGTCTAATCTCTTTTCAGTTTTTTGTCTGGTCAGCTGAAATGTTTTTGAATATGATTATCACACTCATATTCATTTTTTTCTGAATGATAACAACCAAATGAAATAACATATCTGTCTGCCTCAATGACTGTGTTCTTTTCCCGTTATCAGACATGCTGATGGTATTCAAATTTATCATCCAGATGCTAATATCTTCCATTTCAAATGTCTGTTCATCATTCTCTCACCCTCTCCTTGAAAATCTATTTATCTGTTATCATACATGACATTTAAATTCTTCCTGTTAATATCTTTCTATTAAAGTGGCTTTTCAATGAGCAACAAAAATGAGGAGAAGGAAGAAAGGTGAGCAATCGGAAAGCAAATCATTTTCATGGAGTGATGAAAGGAGAAAGAAGTGCAGGATAGGGAGGAGGTGGAAGAATGAAGAGAGGTATAAGCTACTCGTTGCAGGTTTGTGGCAGCGTGTTGATAGACTATATTTTTACCTTAGTGATGTCTTTAGAGAAGTTTTTAGTCTTACTTGATAAGAAAGTCATCTCAGGATAGCCTGCCAAGGTTTATGTAACTTGCTTAACTATTATTCTTTTCCTAAGATTTGACACTAATTCCCAGTAAAACCAGGTATTTGTCATCTCTGAATGTCTGCAGAATTTTCCAGTTCAGTCAAATATGAATAAATATACCTTTTGTTATTCTTGTAATTCTATCTATCAATTTCGAAACAGTCAAATGTTTAATCTAGTTATTAGAAAATACTTTCTCTGTATTTATGTACAAATTTTGTAGAGTTAGGTAATAAAAATAATTCATTTGGTCTAAAAAATGTCTTGGCTGCCAAGGTGATACATTCTCTCTGTTGAAAGAGTGTAAAGATGTATTGCAGGAATTAAATATATTTCATATAATTACATATAGTTTCAAAGTCTCAAAACATAATGTTTACAATTTATGCCGATGTACCTGAACAAACAGATTGCTTTTTCATGACTGCTTCACATTTTGTCATTGAAATTTGACTAGCCTAACAACTCCATCCCTGACAGGTTCCAGAAGATCAATGCAAATTCCAACTGTTGTTCATCAAGAAGTAGTTCCAGGATATGACTGTAAAACTGCACAATGTTGTTTTTACAAAATACAACCTTTTTCTTTCCTGACTTTTAAAGGTATAGTTGCTCTTAACAGAACCACGCCAGCTGTTTCTTCCTGCTTCAAGTCTTTATTTTAACTACGGGCTAAGTCTAATTCATCACTGGTGTTGACCGTAACCATGCAAACATTTCATTTTTGACACATCACAGAACATGGATTTTCTGCTGCTAATAGAAGTAAATGGGTTTTCCTCCCTTTTCATGTATTTTACTGAACACTTCTTTTAGTTTTCAATATTGGCCAGACAGTTTTACATTAGACCTTTAGCGTCTTTTACTAATGGAAACAAACTAAAGCTGGAGCTTACGTAACCATTCTGTTGGTGAACTGGTCACTGAAAATACTCAGAGATCAATGGCTTTAGTAAAATCCACTTACCAGCTACACTATTAACTACCAAAATTAACTAGAACTACAATAAACTCAGTCACCAGGTACAGAGAGAGAACAAAACAGGCGGCTACTAGTCCCTGTCTCAGCTAGTGCCTGTGGGAACCTGGCTTGCCATAAGAGCCTAAGAAACCTTGTAAATTCTCTGGGGATCTGATGCTGGAAAGAGGATGTTGATAAGAGAGGTGAGGAAAGAGGGATGCGGGATAATAAGAACAAAGATGCTAATGAGGAAGGAAAATGAAAGAGGAAAGGAAGGACTGGGGGAGCCAGGGAAAGCAATAATGAGAGATACAAAGAGGTAGGCTGTGCTGTAACTGTGGTGCTCCATGGGGGAAATCAAAGCAAAGACAGAAAGACCGACAGAGACAGGTGTATTGGAACACACCATTGCCAGAGTTGTTGCTGGGTGAACAGTTTTTCTGCTTAGTCGTCTGACGACACTCTTTCATCCAGGGAAAAATCTGCTTGGCCAGGGTTGGGTTGGGCGGCAGTGAAGAGGATGAAGACGATGTGGAAGATGATGTAGAGGAGGAAGAAGTAGATGACTTATTGGTGCCTGATTTAGAGAGTGAGGAGGACCCAGTACTGCCACCTGGCTGCTGAGCCCCAGTATTACCGTTGCTGGGGTTGGGGGGAAGTGGAGGGGACACTTGGGAGCCAGGGTGGTGCTCAGGTGGCAGACTGGGCCGCATGCAGCTGCCATTCAACTCCTTGGTCTTGGCTAGCTGCTGCTGCTGGTGGCCACCATTACTGCCCAGTGACTGTAAAGAGCAGGCAGAGCGCTGGTATGAATCCACATCCAGATGGGTAGCCGACTGGAAGATCGGCTGGTGGTGAGACGCTGGGACCGGGGCATCATAGCCCCCGAAGCCGTTGGCGGCTGCTCCTGCTCCCACTGCTGCCCCCTGCACTGGGTAGGATGAGTAGCCACCAAAAAGTGTTGAGGAGTTGTCGTAGTATGTTGTTTTCTGCATCTCTGTGAGAAGTGGCGGCGTCTTCTTGTGCTCCGGTCCTTATTGAGAGCCACTGCCGGAAGACCATTTGGTACCGGGGGTCACGTGACGGTGTCTCTCCAACGGTCCCCTGCAACCTGACCTAAAAGGTTAGGAAGAGACAGAAAAAAATAAATGAGAAAGATAAATCCATCTTCCTTGAATGAAAGGCACCATGACGTGAATAGAAACCACTGCTTTTCTTTCCACAGCCCCCATCCCCCTCCCTTTGCAGGCCAGTGCACAGCCTGCAGATGCTCTTCTGATCTCAGTGCACAGCCTTTCTTGTACAAATGCACACACACACACACACACACTGCTGGGTGGGTCAGTTATTTAATGTTGCAATTTCTGTTTAAATTGTAATTAACTGCAGTTTTTATTACTGCTATAGTTTGTTATTATCAATAACAGCCATTAATCTGTAGTTGTAGATTAATGGCTTTTATTTTTTTATGATTTTAACCAATTATTTTCTGCTTTTATGCAACGAAAATTACGCAATTTACTTAGATTTGTTTTTAAACAGAATAAATTAAAATCCATCATCATACAATTTAAAGATATGTTGGTTCTTCTTCCATACATTCCAGAGATATTCGTTATTTTTGAAGTTTTCCTAATAAAGAATTACCCTCAAAAGTGTGCTGTTATTCGGGCTGAAAACGACATTTTATGTGTAATGGTGGCAGTGGACACGGCCCATATCTATTTTCCTTTGTGACTGATGTAGGTAGTCTATTTCTGTCAACCTCTACTTTCCGCCTGTGATTTACTGTGCTCTCTCTGCTGTTACCTCACTTGTCTTCACTCACAGGAATCCAAGCGGAAAGGATTTTTGTTTCACCAGGGTTTTTTCCCCCATAAAAAAAGAATCTATCTATCTATCTATCTATCTATCTATCTATCTATCTATCTATCTATCTATCTATCTTAAACGGAGAAAAAAGTAACAAATATTCATAATGACGAAAATTATTTAAAAGGTGAAGTATAGGTTAGAACTCGGATCTCAGTATACAAGTAATCCCTGTGATAGTTTTATGTATTTACTGATTTATTGATTGATTTATCGTGACGTAAACAGTAAATGGAAACATATTATAAAATGTAATTGCGCTCAACAATATACGATTTATATTGTTTTTTGCAAAAAAAAAAAAAAGACAAGACAAGAAAGAAAGGAGGCTCCCGGCAGAAATTTCACTAGTCAACAATCCATGAGGGTTAAGCGGTCAGAATGCTCAATCACGGCGCCTTTAGTTAAAAAGAGAGGAAGAGAGAAAAAAGGAAAGGAAAAACAGCAGGGTTAGCCTCCACACACTCTATCTTGCGCTCACCGCTGGTGTGGGCCTGTGGCCGTAAAAGGCCGGCTTGACAGACACGAGAGAACACCTGGCATTCGTTTCTTCTGTGGAGATAAACTGTCTGACGCAGAAAAGAGGAGATGAAGCAGCTCTTCCATTACACACAAGCTGAGCAGCGCTAGCACTAGCTACATCTAAAACTAGGCCTACTGGGGCTTTCCAAGTTAACCTTACCAGTATTTTAACCTGGCTCTCGGCTCCATATTGCAACAACGGCTCACTATTATTAGCCATCTCTTTTATTTCGCTCTAATGTCGAAGATATTTTTGTATTAGCCCTGCTATAGTGGATCTCGTTTAGGAGAAATGTATAGAAAAAAATAAGGTTTAAAAAAAAAAAAGAAAAGAAAAGAATTTGCTAAAGCACGTGCGAAGGTAAGACGATACATTAGAATGACAGATACCAGGCCCGAGCTTCATGAAAGCTGCACCGAAAATAGGATTGTGTATATCGAAGTCTACTTCATATACTGATGGTTCTGCACACGGTATATATAAAGCACAGGCCTGAATGATATATCGCCAACATAACTGAAGATACTAGAAGAAGGAATTGGAGATAGTAATGCTATCAGCGTGATAACAACAAAAACCATAAAATTTGTTTTATTGATATCTGTCTTCTACCAGTAAAACCAAGAAATCGCAGTTCAGTCACCAATAACTTTATAGATTGGTAAAATTATGCTAAAATAATATAATTCACTTTTCAACTATTTTAAAATGTGTTCCCATTTTTTTTTCTCAAAATCAAATAGTCCAGCCTTTCTCCGGCTCTCAGCACGTCACACATGTCACCCATTTATCTTTCTAGTAGACAACCTGGAATCCTAATTATTTACTCTAAGGAATAGTCCCAACGACAGAGGGAGAAAGATGGAGGAGGGTGGGGGGGGGGGCATGGCAGTGAGTGTAGGAGGAATATGTTATTAAATCATATCGCTGTTTCGCCATTAAACGGGACACGTAATGTCTCTGCCCCTGGCTTGTAGTGCTACAGCTTAATACAATCACCAACTTTGCTAGACGCCTGCCTGAATAATCCACTTACACTGACAGAGAAACAGCCACCCAAACAAAAACAACACAGAGAGGGAGATAGAGAGGGGGAGAGGGAAGAGAAGTGGTGTGGGGAGAGGGAGAGAGAGGAACAGAGAGGGAGAGAGAGAGGAGGCGGGTCGGCCTTGGTGTCCAGTGTCTGTTTTATCCTGGGATATAAAATTACAAATGGCGTCTGCCATGAAGAGCTATGTAGACAGTGAGACAGAGAGAATGCATTAACTTGGACAATCCACGTATTCTTTATCCCATTAACAGAGAGAGAGAGAGAGAGAGAGAGAGAGAGAGAGAGAGAGAGAGAGACCAATTATACAGACTCTAAACGACAAACAATAAAGGATTGGCCATATCTGAGCTATTGTTGCTATGTTCACGGTCTCATTTTAGACTGAAATCGCTAAAAGCGCTAAATATTCATGTGTGATTAAAATTACACCATCAAAATATTTTAGGAATAATTACAATGCATCCCATATACCCACATGATAATAAAACAGGAGCCTGTGGAGGGACAAAAATTGAACGAGAAAAGTGCATCACCCATTACAGAAAAACAGCCGGCCATCGCTCCTAAATATAATTTAAGTGAAGAAGAGGCGTGGAAAGCTAGTGGAAGAGATGAGGACGGAAAAAGCTGAACAGAAAAGGACAGAGATGGACGGTCGAAAGAAAAAGGGGGGTTGGTTGTGGCGGGTAGCTACGGCAGTTTAAAGCATTGTGAACTCTTCTTGAACCGGGATTGAAGTCATACAGGCCATAAATCACTGAGCCAGCCACTCCGCGTCCACAAACTGCACAGCGAGCAAACACACTATGTATTTCTGGCTTGTTGTTTGAGCTCGCGCATGACCGGCTGGCCTGCTTGCCCGCCGATGATGTTCCTTACCTGCCTTAGCACCGGTGATCCCAGTCCAGTCCGGCACGGACCCAACAGCACCGCATCATAGATTAGTCCTCGCACGCGTTCAGTTGGTAATCAACAATAACAGATAATTAAATAACAAATCCGCTCGTTTGGTCGTCCGTTTTGCTCTCCTCTTCTTCTTCCTCCTCCTCCTCCTCCTCCTCCTCTCCTCTCTCCTCTCCGCAAACCCCGCTACTCCTCCGGTGCTGTCTCGAGACTAGCACGGCTGCTCGCGACCACCACCTCAACAACACCTCCTGGAGCCCCAGCAGCGGCAGACCGGGCTGCGCGAACAGGACACCTTGTGGCATGAACGACTGGCGGATGAGAGAGTCGGAGGGATCCAAGACTATCGGCGGGGGCTCAGTGTGCGGGCAGAATTAACAGACGGGCTCGGTGCAGGCTACAGGCAGGCTAGTTAGGGCATGAGCTGAACGAGCTTACCGGGGAGCATGCCTGCTACCCGCCTCCCCAGCGCCCTCCCCCCCACCCTCCAACCCAGGAGCCAGCACTGCCTGCACCGCTTCTGGCTGATAACAATGGCCTCAAATTTCTTTCTCTTTTAGCCACTGTCCTTCACACGGCCGGCCAGTCATTCACACAGCCACAGAGGAGTATGTCCGCCACAAAATGTCACTTCATCTTATTTTAGGTAGTTTTCTATTCTTGTTTTTTATTTCCTTACGGCTCTTCTTCTCTAAGTCTCCCCGAGGCTCATTTTCCCCTGGTATTATTCCCGTCTGCCCCGGATCTGTGCTCCTTGCTTCGGTCTTAGGTAGGCTATAGGTGTGTGCCTTGCACACGGCTAGCAGCAGCACCAGTTTACAGCCTACAGTCTTCTTTGTGGTTGTGGTAGTAGCCTAGATATTCTCGTTATGATGGTGAAAATACGCCCCAGTATCAGAGACTCTCACAGGCCCTGTAACGAACGGAATAACCAGATTGACGGCTGGACGAGATGATTCCCTCATCAAAAAGTCAGCGTCACTCAAGAATTATGCTAATTGAGCTGGATCTAGCCATGCAAGCAGGCAGTAATTTTGGCTCTACAACCACACATGTAGATTGTTTTTTTTCCACGTGTCACCATAACTTTAACTCTAATAAAGTCTTTGACTTTTTTGTGCTTTTCACTTCCTGTTATATTGGTTATATATAACCTAAAAGTTTATATTTTAACAAATTGAACTTTTTTGAGGGTATTGAGGCAATACCCTCAATAAACCTATATTTTAGAGGTTTGTATAGAAGTATTTTTTAGATGTTTTAAAAATCCAACTTAAAGGCTGTCTATATGCTACTATAGGCCACGTGGGCATTCTCTAACAAGGCCCAGGTTAACTAGTAAATGTCCAAACAGTGTCACTAACGATGTGTATCATTATTAATCATAAATTATATTTTATGGTCTATAAAGTTAACCTGGTTTTACATTTAGCTCTAATTATTTATTTTTGAAATTGTAGAGAGCATCTGTGTACTTTAAAGTCTATAGGAGGCAACAAGCAAAAAAAAATCACGTGGTGAGGTCAACATATAAAACAAGACAGTCGCTCACAGTAAAAGGTTTATTAAAATTGCTGACCTCATCTGAAAATACTGCTTGGGACATATCATCGACAAATGCAAAGTTTGTGGGGAAAAGGCTTAAGCTCCTGGGCTAAGCTCTTGTAGTTTTCTCTTTCGGCAGGATGACTTTGCTATGTGTTTTTGTTTACATCAATCCGACTCTTTTAAAGTATGGATAAAATATTAGCATTCATTTAAATGTAAATTTCCTTCATCATAAATAGTTTTCAAGATTTTTTCAGATTTTTATTTTCAATATTTCTGCTGCTGCCTCGCTGCATAAACGTCATTTAAGACGTAAGTAACGGAGGACAGAGTGAGAGGGACAAGACTAACATAGAAGGTGCACATTACGCTAACATTGTAGCAAAAAAAGATTGTATGTGATCAATTTGGTTTTAAAGCTTCACTAACAGGTTTTTAAAGAAAGCATTTAAAGAGTCTTGCGTTTTGACTTGAAAGCACCGAGGTGGAAGATGAAGCAGCAGTGCAACAACACTTAAAGAAAGAAAACTGAAGTGGGCTTAAAAATAATAACCAACAGTGAAAAAAAAACCTGAGAGAAAGAGAGGGGTGAAAGAGAGAGACCTAAATGGAAATGAAAATATGAGGGGTGTCCTATGATGTTGTCATTACGCCCCCTCACCCCCC